GATTTTAATCGGCTTTCATCGCTTCAATGCGCTTGAATTTTCAGAACCGGGCTCTTCCTAATTTGCATAATCCGTAATCGGCCCGTGGGCATTACGGGAAAATAATGCCCTACAATTCAGTGACAATTAACCAATCAGAGTGCGCGTTATATCGGCCACAAGCCAAAGCCATATAATAAATTTCATTTAATGACTGTCAGGACTCACATCTCAATATTTTGTCAATTTTAAGCAAAACTGACACTAAACGTGAATTAAAATTACAGAAATTACACAGGCCTTCCCTAAAAATACCATAACAGGTTGCAATGCTCTGGTTCTGATATATTTCAGTCTTGTTCTTAAATGGTGCAAGCGCACAGAAAACATCAGCTTTTGCTAATTGAGTGTAGTGTGTCCTGGAATAGACCAATTTTCAGCCTAAAACAATAGACCTCAGCACCAGGCTCTAGGGAATGAACCCCATAAACTCTGTAGTTGTTTCCCAGAGCCTCGTGCTGAGGTCTATTGTTTTAGGCTAAATTTTAATATATCGAAATTGGTCTATTATTAGAAGAAACCTAAACAGCTTTCGTCTGACTCACCCTTCTGACGTCAATGGAAAAGTTACAGATCAGACAAAGAGAGCAAAAACCAATGTGGAGTAGTACTTTTTCTTGAAATTCCTCCAATTATGTAAATTTTACTGCTGAGAAGTTTCGAGGGAAGTTGTTGCTTGGCACCTGCAGATTGCACCACCCCAGTGGGGAGACGCGAGACAAAGGCAAAGGGGACGGGGGTGCGGAGGTATGGGCGGGGCAGAGGGAGCCGGTCAGAAGAGGGACAGGTGGGTAGATGTTTCTCTTACTTGAACATCGAGTCCAACGTTTGATTCGCAGTACTTGTAAACCTTTTTTAATGCAGTAATATTGCATTCTAGAGACTAACAACTTTTTGTTTTGTTTTGTTTTGTTTTTTAAATTATATTTTAGGCAAAATAAACATAAAAAAACACTGCAAACAGAATTAAAAATTTTTAACCGAGAAGGTTTACAAAATCTGGAAACTGAATGTAAAAGTACCATTGTAACGAACTACAGAGACACTCTTGATATATTCACGCGGGTGATCCTAACCATTAGGGGCTTCGGCTACTTTGACCGCGAGGGATTAGGCCGACAACGGTCTAATCCTGCCAAATAGAGCATGCAATTTCGATATATCAAAATTCAGTCTAAAGCAATAGACCTCAGTACGAGGCTCTGGGGAATAACCACAGAGTTTGTGGGGTTTATTACCCAGAGGCTCGTGCTGAGGTCTATTGTGTTAGGCTGAATTTTAAGATATCGAAATTGGTCTATTCAAATGATAAGGTATTTTGGTCCGACAATGACACAAACATGGCAAGGGTGAGAGGGTGGGGGTGGGGATGGGGATGGACTGGGCTTAACGACTACAGACCACCAGCTTCGAGTGTCTTTCTTCACCCAGCATTCTTCGTTCTCCCAAACTTTTCCTCGTGTTTGTTTGCTTGTGTTTGTTTGTTTGTTTGTTTGTTTGTTTTTTCATAAATCTTACTGAAAGAAGCAGAAGATCAGATAGGTTGTACCTTAGGGGTCCCAAAGACTTCAAAAGACCGTGGGGATCAGTACAAAAGCAACTCTAATTTTCACGGAGAAAATGCAAGCGACCCTCAGACTGAGGATGTAGTTGATGACAAGACAAAACTAACAGTTGAAAAAACATCAGTTTTATTAACTTCTTACACTTACCGGTTGCAAATTCAAAGAACTACTGCAGTCGGTTTTCGCATGAAAGCCAAATTCTCAAGACAGCTGCTGGCCTTGCTTCGCGAGATATTACAAACCTCACCCTCGACAATTCTAGCTTGTGTGTGTCTTGCAGTCCGTCCAGAGCAATCTCGAGGGTTTCTTTGCATTTTTTTTTTGATTCATGTAAAACGTCACAAAATGTAGCACTTTGCAACTTCGTTAACGCAAAGCTTTATGCCTCGTTAACCTCTTTATATGCCTCGTGAAATTAATTCAAAGGCAACGTTTGAGTAATTCTAGTTTTCTAAAGTAGTAAAAATCTTACGATCTGAATGGAAATTCTCCCTACTGACTGCTATAAATTTCATTTAAAGTTAGTTCTGAGAATTAACTGCTAACACAAAACAGCATCTCATAGTTCATGGTTTTCTTTATTCTTATCGTCTATCCCGACCTCGACAATTGAATACGAGGACAGAAAACGTTTCCATGACACTGATAAGTCAGTTTACGATAATACAAAGTAAAATGAGACTGAGCTCGGCGTTCATTTATCAATTGCATCGTGAGAAAGAAAATAGGCCAAAATACGTCTTTCTTCTAAAATCACTGATCAACATTTTCTTGGTCCGAAGCTTATCACGTGTAGAAGCAAACATTAGTGACTTTTAGACTGAACTAAGAGAACCAGATTGAGTACGAATACGATTTTCTGATTTTCAAACCAGTGGCGTTTCCAGGCGGCCCTCGCTTTTTATGTTGGGTTTAGGTAGAGAAGGTAACTCATGGGTTGAAATCAGTGCGTGAGGTGATAATTTAGAGCCTGCAAACTAGGATTCAAAAGTCGTACTGGTACCCGATCTCCTCCTCGTGCTCAAATCCTAAGTCCTCTATTATCATAAAAGGACTTCGTCGTGGTTTCGACATCTTGAAAAATTTGGCTTAAAACTTTTTCATGTTCGTCGTTTGTAATCCGTGTTAATCTTCTCCATCCTTAACCGTCCTTGTTCCTTTATGGTTGTTATTATCTCAAAATACCGACTAAGCTCTTTTATGGACTTTAAGTTCTATTTGCAAAGAGAGTTCGAGACTTTTTTGGGTCTTCAGTCTAGATACAAGTCAAAATATTAATCTATTTAAGTCCACTGACTAAAAACGTAAATACAAATAAATTATAATACAGCGTATGGTAATACTACAAAACGTCGAAGCGGCAGTGAAGCGGAAAAACTTTAAAACTAAGAATTTTTCAAAATGTGCTATTCTTTCCTACATGCCAAGTAAATAATCACCATTCAAAAATATATTCCATTTGTCTAAACTGCTTGGTCAACAAGTTAAAGCAAGCTTGTCTTATCACCCTCTTAAGAAAACATGAGCACATCACTCTTCAATGGCCGTAGTTGCTAAACACCGTATCATCTTGATAATTTTACTAATTTGCATCTAGAGGCGACTTTACAATCTGGCACCCTCTTAAATGCGTTATCTTCTGGTTAACTCAATCTCTCCGCTGTGTTCAACGTCAAAAAACCTACTCTGAAGGAGCTACGTCACGTTTTGCGCATCTTGAAAAATTTAGCCAAATTTTTCAATTTAATCGTTTGCAATCGAGGTTATCGCTTAACCATCCTTGTTCCGTTATGGGTTATTATTATCTCTAGGGTGTTTTTCTATCTTAGCAAACCACTATTTCCAGCTGGATTTCCTTCTATTGAAAGATTATTTTGTACGTGGCCAAAATACCGTCACTGAGCCCCTTTAACTGAAATGCTAGATCACTCTCAATATGGCAGCACCAACACTATGGAACACTCTTTATCTGAGATCAGAAACAGCAGTCAGTGAAGGTTTTTAAAAATACACCTAAAACAATCCTCCTTAAAAAGCACTTAAGAACTGTTTTCTTAGATCATGTTTTTTCTAATTTTCTATTCAAAATATCATAAGTTTTACCCTAACTTCTACAGTTCTATAGTTGTTTTGTTATCTTTTTTTGTTTTTATGCAAGCGCCTATGAATCTTAAGGAAACTGGCTCTATACACATGTTTTTATTATTTCATTGATATGATCTTTCCGTTTCCTCTGATTAGATTATGCTCATGTGAAATGGTCGGGGATGCCCGTCGTCTCGCCACTATTTTCAGCTGTCAAGGTAACTTTTAGGATTGCCTTCGAGGAAACAACTACAAAACGCTGTCACCTCCTTTTTAAAGTGGCATCTTTCAGGGGTAAATAAAGCTCGAGCTACGCACAGATCGCCTTCGTTTTGAGGGTTTAATTCACAGTTTACGATGAGCATCTCCGACCTTTTTTTGACATGGGAGTTCCTACCACCCCGAGGCTCTAACGCATTCTCGGCTGTGAGGGGAAGATACTTCAGTGCGGTTGTGCAACGCCTTTGTAATCTTTTTGCAATGTTCTTCCTTACAGTCTGGTTTCTATTACTCCGTCGTCGACCTCACTCGGCTGCGCAGGTTTTGTCGCATTTTTCTGCACTTTGTTCTCGAAATAAATTTGAATCTCTTCGAGCGATTTGCCTTTGGTTTCCGGGAGATATACGTAGACAAAGACGACCGCGAGGAACGCCAGACTTCCGTAGAACCAGAACGTGCCAGCTTCTGTGAATTCATCGATGAGCAAGACAAACGTTTTGGTGATAACAAACGAGCAGAACCAGTTGAAGAGAGTCGCAATGCCGCTAGCGATTCCTCTGGCTTTGACGGGGAAAATCTCGCTCATGATCAACCAGGTGCAGGGACCCCATGACATGGCAAATCCCACGATGTACACCGCGACACTCGTGACGGCTACCCACGAGATATCAAACTCGACCCACCCGTGAGTCGGTACGGCGTTGATGGTCAAGTAGAAGTAGGCTCCCAGGGTGAAGCAGCTGAAGCACATTCCTAGGCCGCCTACGATCAGGAGGAAGCGTCTGCCGCCACGATCGATCATAAGAATGGACACGGCCGCCGCAAAGAGTTGGATCACGGCGATCAGAATGGACACTACTGTGCTGTTCTCTTGGAAACCAGCCTTCTGGAAGATTGTTGCGCAGTAAAACATAACAGCATTGATGCCTGTTGTCTGTTGGAAGAAGTGAATGGTCATGCTGATGGCGAATGGCCTGAGGAGACTGGGTTTGGCGAATTCTCTGATTGACATCCTGTCTCTAAAATCTGATAGAAGCAAAAATGAATGATTGTTTGTTAGCATAAGGGTAAAGGTAAGGTGGCCCATCAGGCCGGAGTTTATCCTGCTGTCTGTAACATGAAGCGACTATGAGTATTTCTACTCCCCCCTGGATGGGATTCTAGTCCATCGCCGGGTTACCCAGGCATTGACTAAGTTGCCAGTACACATTGATGCAAAGAGAGGTACTGTGAGGGTGAAGCGTCTTCCCCACGAAATCAACACAATGTCCCCCGGCCAGGACTCAAACCCGCACCGCCCAACCATCCATACGTTCTAACGAATGTATTTGTCGTGTTACTGAAACCTTCCTTCACTGTTTTAAGAAGTTGTTTTTATATTTCACTCAATTTGGTGGCCATTTTCTAAATTTCTGAATGTCTAAAATTTGGCTGAAATCCGGGAGACAGTTCCTTTAACTTGTTTTGCGTTAATTGAGCTGTTGGAGAACGGCGAAGAAAAAAATATGACAAGAAAATGTTTCACAATTTACTCTCTTAGAGAAGTTTAACACGAAAAGTAAACAAAATCGTTTCCATTGTGCGTGGAGCGCGAGACACAAAGAGATCAATTGAGGAAGAGCATTACAAGCTTTAATTCTCATGTGCGAATATCAAAACCCTTTCGCCCGCTGAATTAAACGATTTTATAACCTACATTTGTTTCACCTGCTGTCTTCTGTATTTTGTCTTTCTTCAATGATAAAAATTGGGTGAACACCGAAAAATTGCCTTTGCATCGGAAAAAAAGGTGGTACAGACTTGGTACTTTTCCTTATTAAAAAGCAGAATGTCTGTAAATTTATTTTACAAACATTTTGTTCAGTTTTTAGTTCTGTTCATTACAAAATGTTTGTAAAATGTTTGTAAATTGAAGCAGCTAGAATAAGAGGAAAGGACTCATCATTTAAAACGCTTGAGTGATAAAATTTACAGACCTTTTAAAGTGTTACAAAATCTCTGTAAGTGTGCAAATTTACAGAGATTGTAATTTACAAAGGAAACGCGGACATTTTACAGAGATTTAACGATTTTTTTGAAGTCTGTAAATGGTTCAACTTTAATTTCCTACATCAAACTGAAAAGCGCCATTACTTTCTAGAACAAGAAGTTTCACTTACTGAGACTCTCCCTTATTTCATCCATCTCGTTCTCAATTTTATAATTTGGCCCTCGAAGCCACAGCAACGATTTTTTGGCTCGCTCTTCCTTGCCGCGAGCCAGCAACCAGCGAGCGGTCTCTGGCATAAAGATCATCAGTATCACCATGACGGCAGGGGGCCCAATACCTGCAATGGCGGACCCACGCCAGTCCAGCTCGTGACCAATTACGTACGACATTAGAATGCCTGTGACGATCCCGATTTGGTTGAAGGCACCGAATGCGCCACGAAAACGACTCGGGGCAGTTTCGGAGATGTAGACCTACGAAGAAATTTCAAAGACTAGGTTAGATTGCAAAATCATCCCTCTTTAGAGAGGAGAGTTTCAAACCATGTATAAAGATAACTTCAGAGGGATTACCTTGGGAATAAGGCCTATATTGGGGATTTACTCTACTACACCTCGTCTTTTTTAAATGTTTCAACAAAATCAATCAGAACAAGAAGCAAGAAGAAAGTTGGAGGTGCACCATGGACATTAGGGAATGCCTGATGCGCGCAGCCGTAAAGCATGTGCATTTCCACTTCATCCGCTGCTGCGCATTGAAGCATTCTCTCGATCGTTTTACTCTGGTGAGGAGGCGCGAAGGCCTAATGTAAAGTGCGCTCCACTCTCGACCGAGCGGTTGCGAAAAGACGGATGTAAGTTTGGGCATTTGTAAACCGGGATAAAATCTACTACACTCGAGCAGAGGTTATGGCTCGGAAAGCTTTCCCAGGAGAAGCTTAGAAACTTTGAATGAGCTCTCTCTCCTGCAGGAGGAGATCTAGTCTATAGGAAGAGAAAAATCGGCTAAACGAAGTGACTGCAGACGCAAGATATAACTGGCTGCGCCTGCATTCCCCTCAGGTAGCAGTTTTCCTCTCTTGCACCTCTAACAGAACTACTTCATTACTTACCGGCACAATGAGTGACGCACACCCCACCCCAACACCAGAGAAAAACCTTCCGGCGTGAAGCAAGCCCGGCACTTTTCCAAAGCCGATCATGAGCCAGCCAACAGAGAATGGGAGGGCCGTAAGCATGAGAGCGATTTTACGGCCGAAGAAATCTATCATCCATCCGCCAAGAGGACCTCCCAACATGGCGCCAATATTGAGGAGAGACTGAGGAGAGAAACAAACGAACAGGATCAATGAAAGATGTGTACATGAAGTACATTCTTGGGGTACTTCAGATGTAACGGTTAACGGACGTACCCAAGAACTGAATTATCAAATAAAATTTATGATGTCTGTATTGTGTTACATTGCGCGCCATACTTCTCAATGGTGAATAAAGTTCATTGAAAAACATGTTTATTTTATTGAATTTTATTCCATCAACATGCAAAAAATGTTTTTATAAAAATCTGAGCCTAACGTTCTGCAGAAATGTTAGCTTTTTTGGCTAGTTTTGCCGTTTAGATGTATAGAAAGCAAGAATTTTTAAATACGGTTTGGTTTGAAAAAAACAAACAAACAAACAAAACATAAAATTGTATTGTTTTAACGAATTCTCGACACAAATGTTATATTCTTTTCAAAATCTTAGTCTCGGGCTTATTCTGTAAATATTTTTAAAAGTTCGCAAATTTCAGCCTTGAAATTCTTATAAATTAACACGTAGGGGCCAAACCACCCCCCTAATGTTTCATGAAGGCTATNAAAATTTTTTCAGGTTTCAACTCCCCTTGATGTGCTCTTTCGAACACATTGTAAAAAATATGCATATTAACAACTTCAAGACAGGCAAAAAACATGACGTCATCACTGTGACGTCACAACTTTGACATTTACTGACATTTTTCACGTAAATATAATTGGCAATAGGTCTCCTGCTCATCTGCTAAGTTTGGTGTAGAAAGAGTCAATACTTTTTAAGTAATATGAAATAATGTGAAATACCCAAGAACTGACGAAACATTTAGGGGGTGGTTTGGCCCATATACTCTGCTAAAAAACGAAGAGTGTACTGTAAGAAACATTACACTTGAAATATTAAAATCGCAATACAAAAATAAAATAAAGAGAGAGAAGAATGTAACTGACTATATGAGCAAATGTGACTACGCTGGAAAAATTCGACGATCAAAGCAAAGAACACGAAATCAAGGTATCACTTCCCTCATTCTCTTTACTACTAGGAGCGACCTTCCGGCTAAACTCTCGTAATATAATTCGAACTTAAAGATGACCTCTGTTGTGTTTTCGTCTCTTGTTATTAAAAGCGACAGCTATTTTAAGTAGTTTTTGATGGCTTCTAGCAACGAAAACGTCTGAAAATGTGGCGCATTTTACAAATTTTTTAAATTTGAAGAACAAAAAACGCAGCGCCATGCAGAGAAGAGGAGACCCATTTGTTGAAGAAACGACATTCCTTGTTGACGCTAACATTTCAAGACCAAATACACTGCCCTGGTACGGTACAAACGCATTCATACTGGCGAATCTAATTCTCTTAATAAAACCGGCAAACAAGTTTCCCGAGTGGCAAATATTACGTCTTGAAGAGGATCTTCAGAAGCTACAACGGAAAAAAGATCTGTTCTTGTGCATGTCTGTTGCGAGGTTCTTACACGTAATGAGATTAGCAGCTCACACGGTTTGACAAGTAACGCAACATGTAATTTGCAGAGGCCATGTAAATGTCCATCATTTGCACTATTTTGGTCGACTTGCTTTACAAATGTCTAAAAGATAGTCCTTGCTTTATTAATTTGTTACTGTTTAATAATTTGTTTCGCTTGGCGTGAACTTGACTCGAATACTACAGGGAAGTCGCACTGATTGCTTCTCATATCCGGGGAGGGGAGGGGGTACTCTCCAAAGTTTTTGGTGAGGGTGTGCGGCCCGAACCTTAAAACCCCAGAATTCAATACCCCATTTCAGACCTCTAAATTGCTCAAATATATCATTGCAGTTAACCAGAATTTGTTTCCATTTGCGTAAGTATTTGAGAAGGGGTAATCATTTGCCAATGTTGATGCGGAAAAAAAAGTTCCTTATAAACAAAAGACCCAATGCCACGCCAGAGTGAAATACATACCCTTTTTCAGATTATATACCCCATATAAGGGAGCACCCTCCCTCCCCCCCGGCCCTTCATATCACTTTTCACATATTCCCTCCTATAACGTGTGGGTTTCTGGATAGGCTGACTGTCAGTGACAACTTTGAATGTCTCAGTTGACTTGAATTAGAAAATATTGCTAACGTCACGAAACAGTCCTGTTAAGGGTCCTCTGCCTAACAGGCTTAGAAGATTGAAAGAATTTAATCTCAGGAAACAGTGTCTCACACCGAGATCATCAGACATCCGCCGGCAATAAGAGCTTGTACAAGCATTTTAAAGACAACTCAAGAAGCTAAATATCACGATTTGTAGCGATTAGATTACGGATGAACGAAATCGCTCTCTAAATAGACCCTCAACAAGTACATTAAATTAGAATTGAAACGCGTGAAAATATTAGAAGGCCAAAAAGATAAGCAAATCAAAAACCATCGTTTTCACGTAATGTCAACAAATTTTCTAATATGAAAACCACTGTTCCTGAAAGGCGTTTCTTTGAACATAATCGTAACGTGATTAAATTTCAAGTCACTGGCAAGATTTTCGTTCAACAGAGAGCCTCATTTTCGAGGTACATGTACAACGTTTTGAAAATTAAAACACCCCATTTAATTTAATCTAGTCTGAAATAATCAAAACAGTACAGAAAGCTATATTTTTACCCTACTAACTGCTTTTAGAAATGCCATTCAGAGTTAAAAATGAGAACTAAAGTATTCCGAAGTGTAAAATACACTTCATTGAAAGTGAAGAATGATCATCGCAGGAAATTTTCCAATTTAAGCAATTGGAAAGAAGAAGCCTGAAAAAAAAAAAAAAAAAATCAGGGCTTCAACGGGATTTTAACACGTTACCTCCGCGATACCGGTGTGATGCTCTACCAACTGAGCTATGAAGCCACACACAGGTAGAGCATCGCACCGGTATCACAGAGGTCACGGGTTCAAATCCCGTTGAAGCCCTTTTTTCTTTTCTTTTTTTTTTTCTTTTTTTTCAGGCTTCTTCTTTCCAAGTGCTTAAATTGGAAACTTTACTGCGATGATTATTCTTCACTTTCATCTACAACCGCAGTTCAAATATGAGTTATTTCGTATATACTTCACATAAAATACACTTCATTGTTAACAAAATCAAATCTGTGATTGCTCTTGCTAACCATTTTGGCTGCCACATTGTATGCCAAAGTGGTAAACCAATATGGCGGACCCAAACAATTTTCTGAACATTGTTTTTGTAATAAATTGGTTGCGATGAACGCTACGAAGTTGAAATTTGGGCAGTTTAATTCTTTGCATCTACTCTAAAATCCCTGACTTTGCTGATGTTCTTAATGCAAGCAAAACGATTTTATTTTGAGAAAACGAATTATACAGACGTGAAATTCGTGGACCGGATAAGAGCTACGTTTTGTTTTCGGTACAGCGAAATTGACATGGGGTCAAGGGGACTTAAATATCACGCGAATCTTTCAATCACGAGAACCGATCTGAGATATGACATTTACAAGACCTGATAACGTTGTGCAGTACACAATGTGTTACGTAACAGCCATCTTTCCTAAGAGGTTGTGACTGTCATGTGTTTGATGTCTTTCTTGTCAAAAGAGATGTGCTTTTCTTTTCTCTAGATCTCTCTCTCCAAAAAAAAGCTATGATGTTTGCTTTTTCTGTCAAGAGCGTGATGTTTTTACTTCAGCTCACGTGCAGCCCACACAGGCTCTTTGCCTTACCGTTTGTATATTTTTTTTAATTCTATAAGAAAATATATGCCATTCAGCAATTTTCGCGTCCTTTCGACACAAACAACTGAGGCTAAGACATTGCGCTGTATTGTCCAAAGATCGAATCGCTCGTAAACATTGCGAAGAATGATACATATTTGAATAGGGACTGAAAAAAGATAAATTTTTAATAGTGTCTCTTAAGTCGGTACATTTTTTTTTTTTTTACTAAAACTTGAAACCTGATCGGTTTGTTGACTTGTGAGAGGCTTTGCTTCCTATCGAGGTTGCAGATTTGGGGCGCGTTCAGTGTTTCCGCTGACTTCATCAAAATCGGAGCCAAGCAAAGTTTAATTGTTTTGTATAAGTTTATAAATTGAAGGTTTTTCTGTTCGCTGCCTTCTCCTAGTCAGGAGGCATCGAGTTAGAAAATCGAATTCGAGTTCACTTTCGTAAGAGTGCATATGTTTTTCGTCTAAATATTACGTTACCAGTGCCACTGGGGTTAGAACAGGCTCTGAGAGTCGCTTTTCCGGTTCTACGGCACGCATTCAGGCTAATCGCTATTCTGACTAGCCAGAGCCGAATTCAAGCTGAGCGTCTTGAAACCAACAGAGACGCTGTTCATGCTGTCTTGAAGTCCAATTCGAAGTCTAACTCGGTGTTTCGTGATTATACCCCACCGAGGTTTTCATAGGAAATCATTTAATTAAATTTTTTGTCTTTGGCAAGAAAGATTTTGGCGAGCAATATCTTGCAGGAGAGCATTTTCGAGCGCGCGCTTGCATAAGAAGCCTTTACAGTGAAAGATTTCGATACTCAAAAGGCAAGAGAACATGTCACCTAAACTGCCTAATAAAGAAGATAAACATGATATAATAAAGATAAAACAGCTTACCGAAAACCAGGTGATACCCTCTTTATCAAGATGTAGGTCTGTAGCATTAGCGTTTTCCAGCTGGGTCACTGCCGCGGAGGAATAACCCATACCATATCCAAAACTGAAAGGACCGAACGCCGCCACAAAGCACGCGATGAGAACGCTCCAAAGACGCTCCTTCGTCTTCTTACGTTGGGGCCGGCCGCTTAGTTGATAGTCGAAGTAAATATCGTCCGCCATGGTGCAAGACGTATGACGCCCAGCGATATTTTTCCACAAATATATATCTACACGTTGCACCAAGAACGTAGTCCTCTGCGGAGCTCAAAGATTGATGCCGTTTCGAATGTTTCTATTATTTAATACCTCCCCGGTCGTTTCATGTGACACCACCATGGTATTGGATGATATTTCACCCTATCGTGACCTAAACGTAACTGGCATTTGTCAGCACGTGATCATATGTCATCGCCCTTGCACACTCATGCTGGCACGCGTGAAAATGGATGAAAAAGACCGGGGGGGGGGAACTCCCTTAAAAAAAGTTCTGAGACGCTCGTCGTACCTTTAAGAGGTTAAAAACACGGTTTTGGTACCTCTTGGAGTGTTCAGCCTGAAAAGGTCCACAGCGGGAGCAAATGCGAAACCTTTTATACCGAATAAAGTCAGCGTCAGTTAATGTTTTGTTTTAGAATTGGTTCCTCTTCAGGGTGAAAAAAATTCAAGTCACGCCCACAAAATAGTATCTTGGTACCTCTTCAAAATTCCCGATGAGCGTCCCTGTCTTTTTCTATGGGAGTCCTTCACGGGGAAAAGAACGACACGGTTTCGTTAGTGGTTGCTCATTTAGTTGAACAATCGAATTCGTGTTCGAGTTAGTTTTCTGGATGGAGTTCCGTTTGCCAACGCTGCAGGCGTTTATTTATAAGTTGATCAATAGGCGCTATTGAACTGGGATGCCCCCCAAAGAAAACGTTGATTTGCGTGTGGTAAAAATATTCTGAAATTATATTGTTTTGAAAAGAAAAAAGGTATTTGTCTATCAGATATGCGTTGTGGCTTGCGTATCTAACATGCAGATATTAGTTATCAAGTCCGCGGACTGTGACCTCGGCAGTTGTTGAAAGTCAGATTTATTATAAGAAGCCACAACTCCGCATGACCAGACGCCATACTATGGACCATCACATGATGATTTCCTGATCTGAATCTTTGTGTTCAGGAACATTGAGGGGGTGCCGAGCACCGCAATATTTCAAACACTAAAATTATTATAAAAAGAAGCTTTCGTGGCTGGCAGTTTCGTTGACGCGAGGTAAAAACGATCGGCGCTAAACGATTGCGCGACTTTTCAACAATTAAATTGTAGATAAGACATGTTAGAGTGGTTTGCGTGTCGTAAAACCGAAAGCAAAGTACCGTTGTCACTCTGGCCAATCATAAAGGACACAGACGATCCAGTGAACCAATCAAAACTCGAAGCATAAGACGTACGTGAAGCGCGGGAAAACGTGTGCGAGCGTGCCACAATTGATTTGGGCGATGACGAAGTGGCGCGAGTCTTTAGCCAATCGCTAAGCATAGTAATTGCAAATCAAATTCGACTTTCGACACTCAAAGGAAAATCCCCCTTAACCTGAACTACTTACAAGCATTTCCTATCACGTTACAGATTTGACTTACGTAATGCATCAAAACGACCAGACGCGAAAAAGGGTTGGGAAAATGTCAAGAATAAGTTATTAAACTTCCTATCGTCAACGAAAACATGGAAAAGTTCTTTAGGCATTGCTGACTTTGTTTAACCAATATCATTTATCACCTTCAAACGAAGACGCTGTCTTTGATAGCTTTTGATTTTTAATTTTTGAGGATACTTGACAGATCATGATTTTTCGCCAACTTCACAGGTTTATTGATAATCATGTTATGTTTCTCCTCTCTCATTCTGATTGTCTACCATACTATTCAGAGAAAAAAAAACACGATATTCCGATCCTGAGCCAAACTTTATCGGACTACACCCTCTCCTAGACCTACGCTTTAATCACGGAATACTACGTATATTTGTAGTCGGAAACGGAAGCACGTTTGTCTTGTTGATAACAGGAAACGCTTTGACGCAATGGATCGGACCCCATTGAAACTGTCAAACTTGATCATTGTAATGATATGTATTTCCGATGTCTTTTCTTAGATACCCTGAGTCACGCAATTCTAAAACAGAACTGGCACGCGACTTGAACAATGTGCGGGAGCCTCACGCACATAACAAGAGGACGTCTATTACAAAACAAATAAACTGCAAAGATCCTGCTTGATTGAAGATTGATTCTCACAACTTCAAAAGTAAAACGATGAAAAGTAAAAGGCTACTGCAAGGCTGACCCAACGTAGTATATTTTAATAAAACAATATTTCGGCTGGCCAAAACAGCCTTCTTCAGGTTTAGATGTTACCAAATTATGAAATGAAATCACAACATTATATACCGCTGGATGTCGCTTGGAACGGCGGAAATGACGAACAAAACAAAATAAATAAGGTAAAGATAAAACCCGTCTAAGTAGGTTACAAGTTTTACTCATCATTGTTTTATTACAAAATGTATATTTATGTATTGTAAAACGGGTTGGGGGTGCGCATTAGAAAATGTGAATTAATGGCTTAAACATGAACAAGACCAATATGGGCGTGGCTCAAGTTTTATTTGACCACTAAAAGCTACCACTTAGACGGACATAACAGCGTTTTGTATTTGCCACCCTAAAAGTACACTAACGGCAGAACGTAGTGGCGTTTCCTCCTGCATTCGAACATCTTAAAAGAGACAAATACGCGTCACCCCTGATAAAACGAGACGAAGAGCATCCCCAACCTTTTCCATGGGAGTGCCCCCCCCCCCGGATAAAAACGTGCATAATAATCCATTCTTCCGTTCAACACGCCTTTTGAGCGGTGATGCTCTAGTTGCCATTGCCGTCGTGTGTTTCAAAGATCCCTTTTTGAAACACGTGCGACTAAAAAGCAAGCAAGATTTGTATGGCTGCTGCTTAACTCACGCGCTCGGCACACGCAACCCCTTGTGACTAGTACTAAAAAGTCTGCTGCCAATGCACTTTTGAGGTCTAGAAAAACTGCTCATTCGACGCACGAGCGGAGCGCCAGTTCATTCAGCAGTTTTTCTTGACGCCAAAAGTGCATTATTTTCTTATTTGGTCTAGAATATAGCCTGACAGAACAAAAAGATTTTCGTCTGAGAAAGGGCGGTGATTGCGCTGGCAACACAACATCGGGGACGTGCTCTATAATTTTCAGTCGTGCATAAAGCTATGCGGCATAGAGAAAACAAATGATGCCCGTTCAGCTCAAATAGCCGGTATGCAGCCGCTATATTCTAATCTGTTATAATTATAAAGGACTCAAGAAAGGGATAAAAGCACTGTAGCCGTGTAGCCGGAAACAGGGTCGAAACACAAACGGAGAGCAAGTGTTTCTCCATGCTTCTTGAGTATTTGCATTTGTTATTTGTGTAGTATTAAAATAAAGCTTTACATTTTCTGGGAGACTGGCTTTAAAAAATGTTTTCTCTTTCGGTTGCGTGAGGTAAATGGTTTTGTTATCGATCTTACGCTACTGTATCAACTCAATGTTTGCTAGGTTTTTATCATTTTTTTTTCAATAAGACCATCTGAATTCCACACCACCTGAGGTCTTCTTGTTCATTTGTGGCAAACCTGTGCTGCTTTCAATATAGTTGCAAAATTTTATCTTAAGTTTGTGAGAGAAGTGAGTTCTGCTGCACGTGCATCGGAAGAAACTAAAAGGCCCGGATGGTCTCTGAGCGTTTTTCATGATTCTTAAGCTGCGAGCTTTGTACTATCACGATCACGTTAGTCAAGGTGTCTCCCTATAGTTTTACGATCGTGCACGCGCGCATCAGTGTTTTTCGATATTTTATGACGTGAACACGAGCGCAGCGTTTTATTATCATCTCTGTTAAAATCTTGGCCTTTGGTCTTGAATTACAAATGCCCAAACAAACGGATTTCAGTTTACCGTTTTTCTGACTTTATTTGCGCTTTTCTTAAATTTCCTTTGGTGAAACTGATTTTCTAAAATTTTCACAGTACATCGAATCGGGCGAGATAGGACTGTTAAACTCGAAAAGTAGGGTTCGTAGAGGCATGTAGTTTCTGTTTAGATTTTTGCAAATCTATGTCATTTACCGCTGAGGAAAATCTGGTCAGATACATATACCTAAAAAACGAACTCCATCTAAAGTAAAATATTTACTACCAACCTGACAATTTTATGAAATTTCAACGAAGGAAACGCGAGAAAATTCACTGTCAGTTTTCGCTTTCTTTTATCATTGCTTATCCCATGTAACAAGTTTGAGAGTACTGGGTGTAAAAACTAATGTAAAAAACAGCATTCAAAACAAAGCACTTGCGCACGCAACGCGATAAATGATTACCCCATGGAGCTATGAGAGAGCCATTTTGATCTAAGAGGTAGCATCCCACTATGAAACAGCCCGGTCCCTGCCCTCCCTNCCCCCCCCCCCTACTCGATCCCAAAAATGAGCCTGAAGAAAAGGTCTTTAAACCTTGCGTTTATTGTGAAAATTTTAACAATATTGCGATACGGTCGATTACATTATTACCGCGATTACATAGAGAATAATACATGGGCGCACGTAGATATGCAATATTTCTTTTCGACTGTTGAACTCGATATCACAGGATATTTATTTTATTTACATGCTAAGACGACGTTTTTGACTATTCCCGAAGATTTACGACTCCTCGCGAAGATTTTCGAAGATTCTCCAAAACATTTTCCAAAAATTTCGGAGGATTACGTCGATTTCTTAAGAAAACCGAAGATTGCCGAAGACTTCATATCCTTACAGTGAAAAATTATCGTAATTTTACACAAGGTAAAATTGCGGCTTTTCAGGGCTGGAAATCCTTGTAAAACTCCGCAGTTCATGTAATAAAAATGTGTTTTTCAAGTGGTTTGGTACATAGGGGCGACCAGGATACAATTCTATCAGCTATTGAAGGATGCTATATTACCCTTTGTTTCTGAAGGAACACCGTTCCAGTATATAAACTGTTATTAACTGAAGCACTAATTCAATTCAAATTTCACTAAAAAAAAGTTATTTTTGCTTGAAGTATTTCTCGTAACCGTCGACCATGTTTGCCAAATACAGGTTGAACGAAGCGGAAACTTTCCTTCCGACAATCCACTCGATGTGCTTTGTTGGCAGCCATCCATTGTAGTTATTCTTGGAGAGACTGAACAGCGTACACGCTGCGCTCGGGTTGCTTTCGTCTGGGATAATCACAATGAAATTGCCTCCGTTGGTTGCTCTCACAAGGCCATCAGCTCCCTCCGGCTTCGAAGGGTGCCAGGCATTTTTCTGGATCTGGATAAAAGCTCGCTTACCATACCAGTCGATTTCTTTTAGAGGTGGAAAAAACAAGATGAACGAACGATCCCAAAGCGGGAATGAAGTCGGATAACGCATGAATCTAACGACTCCCTTATCATCTGGATACGTTTCCAGGATTTCGTGGTCCACGAAAGCCCTATCCCACTTTCTTCGCTTATCCAGGTTTTTCCGGTCTACAATTTCCATGTACATTTCCGCCGATAATGGAAGGTCGATCGAAGATAGAACATTTATCGGGACCTCGTCTTCGGGGAAGGTTTTGATCCAATATACATGACCAGGACTTCTGTGCGCCTCTTTCCAGCCGCCTTTATCCAGGTCATCTTTGTACCACTTGGCTCTCTCGATTTCCTTCTCGAACGAAAAAGAGGTGAAAAACTCTTCTTTGGAAGGCATGCTTTGTGCGGATTGTACACTCATGGGAGCTGCTGAGGAGGTTGTGGTTGCAGACACTGTCGGTTGAGAAATTCAGAAAATTTGCATTAGATGATGGGGAAAACTAACGAGGTAAACTATGAATGCAACCTCTCAGAACCCCTTCGGCCAAGAGGACTGGAATTAAGTTAGTACTTTTCAGTTAGCCTATATGCAGGTCCTGGCAGGACTGATTGGCTTTCACTGGCTGCTTATCGTTAGCTTCTTCTCTAGTTTGCACTTTTCATGCCGTTTGTTTTTGTTTTTGTTTTTTTTTTTCTACCAAATTGAAAGGGAAAATATCAAGAGGAAATGAAAATATCTGTAACAAACATTACTTTAATTTGCTATTTAAATGTGCAACATATTAACAGTCCAGAGCATGCAATTCGGCTTTTGGATATGTTTTGATTCGCAGACCAGAAGAATCAATTATCCAATCATCACGCGTATTTGGAGTCACATGGTGCTAGGTCTGTTTTCTTAAAATTTCACGTTAGTTTATATATGTCGATCAAAACGGCGGCCCAGCCAGGATGCTACAGTACTAGAATTTGAATATGGCAGTCTTGCAACCTACTTTTTTTTGTTGACTTGCCGAAAATTGACTGATTACAGAATGAGAAAATATGCCAGTTACAACTGTTGGCCGGGATCATGGCTAGAAATCCAGGACAGTTAGGGTTGATAGTTGTTTTGATAGTTTCATACATTTCGGTAGCTCAGGTTTTAGTAAAGAGATGGTGTGCTTATCCTAAGTCTACTTCGAAAATACGTCTTGTCATTTCTCTACGTGACTGATTCACATGAGGCGCCATGGCTGCTGACAAGAGTTGCATTCAAACCCTCCCGAATGTCGTTTCTCGAAAAGTACTGAACGGATTAAAGCGAAAAAGATCTCTTTGGAAAACTCTTTCAAAGCGCAGGACAGTTAGAATTTCACTTGCTCCTGTACTCCGCAAATCCAGGCGCAATTTTTTGCATATTCAATTAACTACTAAAATTAAATGAAATTATAACGTCATTTAAGTTGACCAGTCAGGTTTCTTTTCTCAAACAGCCTTGAAGTATGACCACGCGCTAACATTAGATTGAAAAAGATTATCATCTCAAGATGCCCATGCGGGGTATGCGTTCTCTCAGATGGTAGTCTTTTGTTTAGTACATGCCTCTCGATCAAAAAAGCAAAATGTATTTCAAAACTTTGCAGAACTCAGTACTGTAACGCAATTCGAGAAACAGTTATTACCCCCGCAGGATTTTGGCCCAGAGGCCAAACTCGAGGAGGCATCCTAGGATTCCCCGCGTGTATACATACAAGGAATTTCAAATAAGTAAGAAATGTGTTGGTAGTATGCGAAACGTTCTCGATTTGATGAAACTAGGCGCGCACGGTGGTCTCGGGTAACGTGGGGCAAGGAACGCGGGCTCACAAAACGGCTGGAGTGGTGTCGGGTACATGAAATTCTTGATTTCAAGGTTCTCGCGGCCACGAGTTCGCGTTTCGCCATCTTCTAACAGCATTTCAAGATTCTCGTTCGCGTTTCAAGGTTCGCGCTTCGCCATCTTCGAGCAGGATTTCAAGGTCTCCCAACCACGAGTTCGGATTTCGCCATCTTCGAGCAGCATTTCAAGGTCAAAAAATACTCTCCAATTACAATATGCAGCAGTATGGCCTGCATGACGATTTTGGCGCGATCAAATGAATTCGCTTCGAAATGGCCGAGATT